TAAAAAAAAAAAATTCAAAAGAATACAAAGGATGGGACAGAAAAGCAATCTGCCCTACCAACTCCTGACTACATTGCTTAAGTAAATTTCCTTGTCTTTCTACACATCGGTGGCTACGTCTGCAGGAAAAATTCTTGCATGTGGAATTGTGAGCTCCAAGACCACATGCATCTTGTGAGATGAGAAATAGAACCTGATTGTCTTCCAAATTTTTAATTAAATTTTGAATAAAGAGTTTTATCGTAAGCTGACTTAAAAGCTCCTCAAGTTTTCAAGACCAAAGAAATAGAAAAAGATATCCGCAAGGTAACAGCACTACTAGTATTTGTGTCTGCTGCCTGTTCATTTGATAAATACTTAAAAATAAATACCACATTAGGAGTGTTCTTGAACCAGTCATTAAAACAGCAAAGAGGACTAGAATGTTCAGATGCATAAATACGCAAAAGAGTGCTGACTATGAACCACTAAGCTAAACAGTGGCACATGGTGATGAAAATGGGGAGCGGGGCTTTGGCCCAGCCCTGTCCTTGGTGCTGAATTGTTGTTCTAGCCAAAGAGCTCTGGAACAAGACACTCCTGTACTCTTAGCTTTACATTTCTAGTCGCTGAAATTTTGCAGTGGCTGTTGTCACTGATCAAAGTATGCTCTGCTATTTATGTAGCTGATTAAAATTTTTCACTTAATTTTTATTGAGGTTTAATACACATGTGGCTAAGTGTCAAATCTCAATGTACACGTAGGGTTTAGTGAACTTTTACATTCAGAGCTAGACGTACACTTCCAGCACTCCAGAAGCCCCCCTTATGCCCCCTCCCAGTCAATGCCCCCCAAAGGTGGTCACTATTCTGATTTTATTACCATAAATTAGTTTTGCCTATTCTTGAACTTCTGAGAAATGTGACTTTAGTTATTTTCAACAGGCTTTTACATTTGCAAATGTCTTGGTCTTTTTCCTCTAGGAGGTGGGGGGCTACCACCCCCCCAGGCCTGCTCACTCTGTACTTATGAACTTGGTCATTAGGCACAGTGGTTTGGGATAAGTTGCCCTGGAGCCTGGCCCAGCCTCACTCCTCTGCCAGGGGTGTAGCCTCCCTCCTCAGCATGGAGCCCACCCCCACCTTCCCCTCCCTGTAGGGCTTCGGCGACCCAGCCGGGGAGCACTGGCTGGGCAATGAGGTGGTGCACCAGCTCACCAGCGGGGCAGCCTACTCTCTGCGTGTGGAGCTGCAAGACTGGGAAGGCCACGAGGCCTACGCCCAGTATGAGCATTTCCAGCTGGGCAGCGAAGGGCAGCTCTACAGGTGGGCTTGGGCCTCAGGCTGGTGGGCGGGCTGGGGTCCCTGAGCTGGTCACTACAGAGTACACCAAGGGTCAGTCCCTGGGCGTCTCCTGTTCTTACCATCTGTCCTCCATTTGGGTACACGTCACGGGGTCTGGAGGCGGCTGGTTAGCACTCAGCACGTCATGGCTGCTGGGTGGGGTGGAGAGAATGTTGCTGGCACCACCGTGCTGGGAGCAGGAAGGGGCCTTCCAAGGTCAGTCACCCCGAGTCAGCCATTTTGTAGAGACCAGAAGGAGGGAGGTGACTTGCTCTGGGATGGGTGGAAAGGTCCCTGAGCTGGGAGACGGGAGACCTGGGCTCATTCTAGCTCTACTACAGCTTGCAAATGTGGACAAGTCAAGGTCTAGCTTCTCTGAGTCTTCACTAGCAAGATGGGCTATGAGGATATTGTAAAATCATCAAGGTTTTCCATTCCTTCTTCAGCCAGGTTCTTGGTGTTTAGGAAAAGAAATGAGCACTTATTGAGCACCTACTATGTCCTAGGCACATTACTTCATTTAATCCTCCCCACAGCACTTTCAAGTATGCATTACTGAACCCACCTTAGTAATATGGAAACTGAGGTACTTAGTTTAAGTACCTCATCCAAAGGGTACTTAACTTACTGTTAAGTACAAGTTAAGTACAGTCTGGATTTGAACTCAGGTCTCCCTGCCACCAAAAGTCATGGTGTCTCTACAACATGGTGCTGCCTGTCTGAGAAACTCAAGCATCTCAAAGATAAGTCTAGGGGTTGGCTATCTCTGAATCAGGACAGAATTTGATCTATAGACTCACACTCACCAGGATGCAAAGGACCTCACACATCACCTGGTTCTTTCTTCAAAGGTTGCCAGAATCCCCTCCACAGCTGCAGTCATTCAGATGCTAGAATACCTCCGCTACACTGGAGGTATAGTCCCCCTACCCCAGAATCCCAAATTTCTCTGCCCTTCAACCACATTTTATACCTGATTCCACTTCTGAGCCCTACTAATATGACCCCACCTCTCTTCTTATTAAATGTTCCCTACTTCCCCCAGTGAGGTAGGACCCACTGCAATCTAATAATGTTCCTATTTAAAGTGCAAGGTCCAGAGCTGAATGGGACAGTTCCTGAGTCTAGGTCGGGGATAGCTGAGCTGGATGCCCCCTACTCCTCACAACTGGCCAGGGAGTAGCCACAAATACCCTGCCAACTGGTACTTAAGCCACTGACCACAAGCAAAGACTTAAATCCTGATTTCATTACTATTCCCCTGAATGACTCTGAGCAAGTCCCTCCACCTTCTCGTCTGTAAAATGGGTGCCCTAAGTGTAACTACCACATCAGTATTAAATGAGATACCACACATAAAACATTAACCCATGATGTGGCATCTAGTAAACATTCAGCAAATAATACAATTGCTGTCCTGAGGCAGCCCTTTATGCCCTTAGCTGGCCTGCTCTGTGTGACCTGGAACACGACCTGTCTTGTTCGCTGCTGTTTGCATCCCCAGTGCCTGGTATGATAGGTGCTTAAGAGAAAGCTGTCTTTCCTATACACATAGCAATTAAGCAGCACCTTCTGTGCTCCCAAGTGCAGGGACTGCCATTTGTCTTGGGGATGAAACACCAGGAGAAGCATCTCATTGTACTAAAGACACAGGCCCTGGAGCCAGACCACCCAGGTATGGGTCCTTGCTCCATCACTTACTGGCACTTAGGCAGGTTACTTAACCTCCATGTGCCTCAGTTTCCCCATCTGGTAAATATAGTGTCTATATCATAAATAAGATAATCTATAGTAGGACATATAGGATATGGTCAGTGTTAAATGAAAGTTGGGGATATGCAAACAATATATTCAAAGGCAGAGATATAATATTTCTGCATCTACCCAATTATCTATAGTATTTGTGTCCATCTGCGCAAATATGCACCTGTCTGTTAGATTTGGATCCTCTTGCCATGCTTTCCTATGTGAACTTGATGCCCTCTCTGGCTTTCCATCTGAGCTGTGGAGAGCCCCCTGCCCACAGTTCCAGAGAGTTGTGCCCATATTTACTTGACCTTCTGCAGAGCCTTGTGCCAGGCGTGTGCTGCTACTGGTCATTTTAGGAAGAATTGGAGTGGGCGCTACCTCTTAAAGTCATTCACAAGTTAAGTGTGGTGTGTGTGTCTGAGGGTGGGCACGTCCACAGGCAACCCCACACATCCAGGGAGACAAAAGGTACCAAAAAGGAAAGCAAAGGGGACATGGAGATGAGTGCAACCAGAGAAGACTCCTTGGAGGAGGTGGCACCTATAATGAATAGGTATTCTTTAGACAAAGAAAGGATAGGAAGGGCACACCAGGCAATGGGGATGTTCTGAAAAAAGGCAGAGAGAGAGTTAGCAGCCAGCCATGCCACACATACCAATCAGGAGCGAGACTCTTTTAAGTTCTGGTAGATCATAAGGAAAAATGTCTACTCCTTCAGGAAAAGCCTGGGGTGGGGGTTGTATTGGAGATCCTGGAAAGCGTGGGGGTGGGGGAGAGTAACAGAGCAGACATTGGCTCCCCCACCTTACAGGGTCACCTGGCTGGTAAGGTGAGGAGGATCCCCATGAGGAAGCCCAGGGGTGGAACATGTGCACAGTCAGCAGCTGGGGGGCAGGGGTGGGGTGAGAGGAGCTCCTCGGTTGTTAGATACAGGTGTGGGGACCTCATGGAGCCTGGTTGGTGTACATGTTTAAGCCTCCAAAGGAAATGGCCACCGGGTGGGGAGGATGAGAAGAGGCCCAGACTGGACCCTTGAGCTGCCTTCCACAGTTGCCCACCACCCAGGCCCAACTAGCAGAGCAAGATGTGTGCAGAAAAACTGGGGGACGCAGACACACATGTAACCTTGGAGGGCCTCACCACACCCCTGGGCTACATGCATAAGACTGCAGAGAAAGTGGCCAGGGCAGGGGACTTCAGAGCACACACACACACACTCAAACTATACTCACAAGCACACACAAAGACACACCTAGACATGTGCAAACATGCCTTTCAGGAACTTCCACAAGTACAACACATACAAGCCCAAGAACAGAGACAGATTCCAGAGCACATGCTCAGACTCAGTAGAGATCCCAGCTCAAACTCAAAACTGACACACATGTGCACACACAGGCACAAGGTCTACTATCCAAATGCTCACAACTGTTGGCATACAAACTCACCCACAGATCCACAGATGCAAGGAAATTACACCTTATGTGTTTTACTTGGGGACCCCCCAAGCCACTCACCTATTTGAATTTCCTTAGGCCTGAGCTATGGACACACTTAAGAGCATCTGAAGTGGCAGGTCCCTGGCCCATGACTTGGGGTCCTCCAGAGGTCACAGATCCTGATCCTGCCTTCCAGAGGGGATGGAAATAGAGGTAAAGGCTGAGTGGATAACTTAGGAACAATAGAGGGGCTGGTGTTGCTGGAGTCAACCTGTGAGACCAGTCACCTTTGTTCAGCCTTGATTCTACCAAGCCCCAGATTGAATGTGACCCCAAACCTCAGCTTCAGCAGGAGCCCTGAACCTGGCCTCAAGCTGACATCACTGAGCCCTCAAGGGAGCACTCAATGGCCACGAGAAGGGTGGGCCAGCCTGCCTGTCCCCACTACAGGGAGCCCCTGGGCAGGCGGGCAAGCCTCTTTGCAGGAGGCATTTGCAACACCAGTCCTGTGAGCCCTGAGTAGCAGGTGAAGAGCATAGTTAGGGCACCATGGCTGTTCATTGCCATCTGGACCCCAAGGGCTGCACCCCTGCCTCATCACAGCCAGAGCCCATGGGTGAGAGGTGTGAGGACTGAGCCAGCCACATGCTCAGGCCCAACACTCCCTTTGGACACCACTGGGAGACTCTGTGGAGCTTCCTTGAGCTGTGGGGCTGCACAGCTAGCAGGACTTCCTGAGCCACTTCCAACCTGGCTCCCTGCCACAGCTGCCCCTGCAGGCCCCTCCTACCCCAGCTACAACCATCCTACATGCTCTTCAACCAGCTCAGCCATGGGCAAAGGGCTGAATAACAACAAGCACTCACCATGTAAGGCACTTCTCTGCGTGCTTCACACACTCACATCACTGAATCACAGTAACAGATGAGGTCGACACTGTCAATATCACAGACATTATCATTTGACCAGATGAGAAACCTGAGGCTCAGGGAGGCGCAGCAGTCTTCCCCAGATCAGGCAGCTATCCAATGGCAGAGCTGGGATTTGAATGCAGGGTTCTGCCCCCAGATCTCATGGTATTTATCATCAGGCAGGCCCAGATGTGCCCACCAGGGCCACCGAGCCTGGCAAAGAAATATAAACGTCCTCCAGTTGGCTGTAGGTGTTAATGTTGCAGAGCTGGGCTGTCCCACAGCATAGATCCATGGGGACTGTGTGGTCAAGGCAGGCTTCCTGGAAGTGGAGGGCAGATGTGAGGAGGTATGATGGGGCTGGGGAGCAGAGTGCCCGTAGACCCCAACTCAGGCTGTACTGGTCTGGCATCTGGCTTTGACCTCATTCGCCCTGAGACCTTGGGCAGGTTTCTTTGGCTTTTGAGATGTTCATTTCCTCACGTGTAAAATGGGAATAATGGGGTGTTGTGAGAGTGACTTAACCCATGCAAAGCACTTTGAACAATGCCTGGCACATAGTAGATGCTCAAAAAAAAAAAGTTAGCCACGTGCTCCTTATCATCCTCATCATGATCATTCTCCCTTCTCTCCAAGACTCAAGTCAGTGAGATGAGGGAGGTCAGGCACACAGTAGGCGCTTTTTCCCTGGGAGGCAGCCGGCAGAGGGAACAGCCCAGAAGGGGAGATGGTCCAGCCTCCCTACCCAGGCTGGGGCTCCCCCTCCTAGGACAGCCAGTGGGAAACCCAGCCGGGGACACAGCCCCTGGGAGGCTCTTTCTCAACACAGCTCCAGCCTGACTCTGAGCCCCTTCTCCCATGTCTACTTCCGGGTGGCTCCAGGCTTTCCCTGAGCGGGTACAGCGGCTCAGCAGGGCGCCAAAGCAGCCTGGTCCTGCAGGGCACCAAGTTCAGCACACGCGACGCGGACAATGACAACTGCCTCTGCAAGTGTGCCCAGATGCTGTCTGGAGGTGGGTGCAGGAAGTCCCCGCCCACGGGCTGACCTGAATGGACACCCACATTCCCTCCCCAGCATCTGGTGCACCCAAATGCTGTCAGGAGGTGGATGCAGGTTAATGCCCCATCCGTAACTTCTCCCACTAGGGCCTCCAGTCCCCTTTCAAGGTCCCACCTCCTAAAGCTGGCACTACCAGTTTGCTTGAGAGACCAGGCTGGGGGGACACAGAAGGTGGGGCAGCAGGTGGAGGCATAGTGTCCTATCAGTCCCTACTCCAGGCCTGAGGATACCCCCTCCCAGGCCAAGCAGGACTAGGATTGGGGAGATAGGTGAACAGAGGACAATGAGTGGGATATGAGGATAAGTGACAGCCAGAGACAGAGTGGGAAGGACAGAGGCATGAGGAGAGATTTCCTGAGACAGAGACAGGGACAGATGGAGGCAGAGCGAGATGCCAGGGCCAACAGCAGGCTACAGAGGGACAGAGGAGACAGAGGGAGAGCTGGGGCCCAAGGTGAGGCCGGGAGGTGGACACAGTATGTAAGAGAGACCTAGAGAAAGACAGGCAGCAGAGACCAAAGACGGAGAGAGCAGAGACTGTCAGGGAAGGACAGACCCAGAAAGAGACACACGAAGACAGACACGGCTTAGAGACGTCCGAGAGGGAGGACAGACAAAGCCAGTGCATAAGAGACTCAGAGAGAATGAAAGATACCACTAGAAGCAAGGGGAGGGCAATGTGGAGAGGTGGGGGCCAGGAAGGTGGAGGGCTGGTGAAGGAGGGAGAGTCACAAAGGGGTGGCGGAGAAGGCGAGGGCAGCCCCTCCCCCCACCAGGCCCCACTGAGTGGAGGGTCTGTTGTCCATCCCCACTCACGCCCACCCTGCCACATCTCCAGCCAGCTGCTTCCTGGAAGAGGTTACAGCCCCAGTTAAGTCCTTGTTTTCTTTGGGGAACAGGGGCTGCCCTCACCCCATTGGCTGGGCCCCCACTCCGCAAAGCCTCTTTCTTTCCTCTTCCACCAGGGTGGTGGTTTGACGCCTGTGGCCTCTCCAACCTCAATGGCATCTACTACCCAGCTCGCCACCACGTGCGCAAGCTCAACGGCATCCGCTGGCACTACTTCCAGGGCCCCAGCTACTCGCTGCGTGCCACTCGCATGATGCTGCGGCCCGTGGGTGTCTAACAAGCAGACACGCCCCAAGGCCGGACCACACAGGAAGAGCCTGGACAGCAGGACCCAAACACAGGACACGGTGCCAAGGTTTTGTTCTGGACACCCTGGGTCTCTGGAGCCAGCCTCCTTGTCCCACAAGTCCAGAAGAGTCACCTGCCACCCTGCTGCCTTCAGTCAGTGACGCAGTGGGTCTTTGGGAGCCCCTGCCTCCACAGTACACCTCACCCCTTTTCCCTCCTGCTTCCTGCAAGGACTTCGTGCCAGCTTCAGAGTCATAATACTCTCAATGAGCTGAGAACAGGTCCAACTTGGCTCCTCAAAGAACACTGGGATCGCAAGCAGGTGGGAAGGTATTTGCAGGCAGGAAGCCAACCAGGTGAAAGCCCAGATCCTATCTCTGGGGTTGGTGAGAAAGCCATCTCCCCTTCCAAGCTCCTGTTCTAAGCCTTCCTACACTTGAGATGTCCTTGGACATTCTTTTCAAGGCTGAAGGGGCTACAGCCACCCCCTAATTGGTGGATTAATCATGATCTCCCCTCCAACCTCCCACACTCCTAGGCTCTAATGTCTGGAGCTCAGGGGTTTCAGGAGACATAAAAGACATTATTACTTCACCCCTAGCATGTTTTAAAGTGTGTTCCATGGGTAATAACCAGAGCTCTTCTCTAAAAGTACCTATGATCGGCTGGGTGTGGTGGCTCACGCCTGTAATCCTAGCACTCTGGGAGACCAGGGCAGGTAGATTGCCTGAGATCAGGAGTTTGAGACCAGATGGAGCAAGAGCAAGACCCTGTCTCTTAAAAAAAGCCAGGCATTGTGGTAGGCACCTGTAGTCCCAGCTGCTTGGGAGGCAGAGGCAAGAGGATCACTTAAGCCCAAGAGTTTGAGGTTGCTGTTAGATATGCCACAGCACTGAGGGCGACAAAGTGAGACTCTGCCTCCAAAAAACAAAAAGAAAAAATAAATAGGCTCGGCGCCTATGGCTCAAGTGGCTAAGGTGCCAGCCACATACACCTAAGGTGATGGGTTTGAATCCAGCCCAGGCCCTCCAAACAACAATGACAGCTGCAACCAAAAAATCACCAGGCATTGTGGCGGGCACCTGTGGTCCCAGCTACTTGGGAGGCTGAGGCAGGAGACTCGCTCAAGCCCAGGAGTTGGAGGTTGCTGTGAGCTGTGATGTTACAGCACTCTACCCAGGGGGGTAGCTTGAGGCTCTGTCTCCAAATAAAATAAAATAAATAAATAAGTACCTATGATCAAGTGAGAGAAGGAAATAGCAGGTTAAATCAAAATGAATAGGTATGCTTACCTGCAGGACTTGTCAGAGCCTTTAATATGTTAATGTGGCTTCTGACTGCCCACAAAGGGACCAGAAGGGGCAGCTTTCTCCAGATTTACTTATTTGAAAATGGTTCCTGTTTGTTCCAGAGCATCTCTCCAGGCTGTAGATGCCCTGGAAAAAGCTGGTCCTCACATGTCCTGAGGAGTCCCAAGGCCCTGTCCTCTGTCCCTAGCTATACTTAGCCCTTTTTGCCTACAAGGCCCATGGTAACTGTCTCAAATAGCCTCTGTAAACAACTGGAGGGAAACTGTGTGTTGAAACAAACATGTACATCCCTGAAGAAGGGTCTAGAACTAAGTTCCTGTCTATGCTATGTGCTAATGTACTCCAAGGCTCCTTCTGGCCCCATGAAGCCCATCTCTGCCCATACAGCTGCCCTCAGATCTTAAACCTCATCTTACCCAGGCTCAAGCAGAGGGATTTCTGGGCAGGACAGCAGTCTCTGGGTCTAGATCCCTCCTGCCCCCCCAGCCAGAACCCCTGGCCTCCTCTTCCCCACCACACCCTTCAGCAACGCTATATCTGGGGCTCTGTAGGGGAGAAAATTGGACTTTTGCCTGTGTCTGAGGGGCCAAGGATCCCTCATGAGCTTCTGTCAGAGGCTGGAGGCAAAGAGAGTCCACAGCCACTCTGTTCTATCACTGTTGCTCTCTCTGCCCTTCGTCATCATTGGCTAACACCCAGGCCCAGTCAGGCCCCACCTATCCTAGCCCAGAGTACACCTTTGTGTCCAGAAGTAGGCCTGGATGAGAGTGGGCCATCAGAAATGGGATCCCTTCATCCCACATGATTCTGCCCTAGCCCCTGAGTAAACCCAGCAAAGATGGATTGTGATCTTCTTCAAGGGAAACAGCACTTTCTCCGCCTCAAGCTTCAAAGGATGTGGTTGCTAATGGTGACATTTCAGGCAGGATGGGGAAAGTGTTTAGGGGCAGGCTGCTGAAAGTTCAAATTGCTTTATGCACCATTTGCCCAGTAGACCTTTATTTAGCATCTACTGTGTGCAGGGTGGTGCTGTAGGCAGGGCTTAGGAGTACAGGGTACAGAACCTGTATCCTTCTGATTTTAAGATTGTTCTTTTTTAAGCACCAAAGGAGGTAAGAAAAGCTTCAACTTTCTCTGCTGCACCCCTTCTAATAAAAAGATTTGTTCTTTAAATTTTGGATTCAGTCAAAGGCTACACTTAAAAACCCGGAAAGCCACACATGGCCCCAAGGCCATCGGTCCCCCCATCAACTGTCTTGTCTGTAAAATAAAGATGGTAAAACTCCCTCCTTACTGGGCTATGGTGAGGGGGAAATGGACCATGTTGATAAAATTCTTAACAGAGCCTGGCTGAAGCAGGTGCCTAATAAATGTTAGTCCTCAATGAGGTGAATGGGGTGAAGAAGGCATCCCCCCAATGCATGCCATCCCGTCTCCCAGGCCCAGATGAGGAAAGGGCACTTTATTTTTGTATCCACAGCATTAATCTTTGTACCGCAGAGTTTACAGGCTGGCTACATGCTGGAGAGGAGGTGGGGCAAAGCTGTGAGCCTGAAGGACAAGCCTCTCCCAGTGGGGTGAAGGCCCAAATCTCTGTCTGTATTCCAGCATCCTAAAAGGCCAGGACGCTGATTTGGGCTACACTCAGACACCTGTTCTTTTTTTTTTCCTTTTGAGACAGAGTTTAACTCTGCCCCAGGTAGAGTGCCAAGGCATCATAGCTCACAGCAATAGCAAACTCTTGGGCTTAATGGATCCCCTTGCCTAAGCCTCCTGAGTAGCTGGGACTATAGGCGCCTGCTACTACCCCCAGCTAGTTTTTCTACTTTAAGTAGAGACAGGATCTCACTTTTGCTCAGGCTGGTCTCAAACTCCTGAGCTCAAGCAATCCACCTACTGCTGCCTCCCAGAGTGGTAGAATTACAGGCATGAGCCACCAGGCCTGGCCAGACACCTGTTCTTAAATATTCATCTTTCTTTCTTGTCTCGCTTCCTCCTCCATGCCAGGACTCTCAGGCACAAGGGATAGAACCTCAATCCTAAGGAAGAAATTGACACATGTAAATGGAAGTCTAAGGGTGGATGCAGGTGAGGGTAAATCCAGAGGCTCAGATGATGTCCACTCCAATTCTAGGCCCTGTCATCTGTCACAGTGACTTCATTCTCAGCCAGCGTCTCTTCTGACAAGATGGCTCCAGCACCCTGGGGCTCACATCCTCCCAGCTCAGCATCCTTGATACAGGGAACTCCCCTGTCCCAGTGGTTCCAGTAAAAGAATGGTTTTTCTCTGGCCAGGATTGGCCCTGTGTCCATCCCTGCACTTATCACTCTGATTCTGATTGGCCAGACCTAGGTCACATGATTATGCCTGGAACCTGGGGTGGAGTCAGTCCCACTCAAGTCATGATGCTGAGGAGGTAAGAACAGGTGTTCACTTTTCCTTCTTCCCTGTCTCTGACTCCCACCTCTCTTCTCTCCATCTCTGCCTCCTCTCCACCTCTCTGACCCCAAGGCCTGGCCTCAGGCTCCAGCTCATCCCCAGGTTGCCTCAGACTATCAGGAACCAAGCTGTGTCCTGCCCAGGGATATTAATCCTGTTCACAGAGCCCCAGCCTTCTCTGAGTCTTGGTTTCCCTTCGGGGCAATAAGGATGAAGCATCTGTCAATCTCTAAAACCCCTTCTGACAGTGATGCTGAGTTATGATGGCTGCAGACAAGACCAGCTGCAGGACCCTGGGCAGCACAAGGCCCTGTAGAGAGTTGGCTGGTACAGCCTTGGGCCCAGACTGGGTCTCCTGGAGCCACAGCTCATAGGAGGTGGCTTCAGGGATACCTGCATTTGCAGATTCCCATGAAAAATCCTGCCATCTCAGACCAGTTTTTTCCCCATTTTAGTGATAAAGAAATTAGGACTCAGAAAAGGAAAGGGCTCAGAGAGGGAAAGGGCCTCACCCAAGGCAACACAGCAATCACCACCTCACACACTTGCATCTCTGAGCTGCCTTCCTCCCTCTGCCAGAGCACTCAGGAGGCATCTTGGCATCTACCACAAAAATGTTGGAGTGGTGTCCTCTCCACTTACATCAAAGGCTGAAGGAATTTTCTGGAAAAGTCTCTAAGACAGTAGTCTTTGGTACTGGCACCTGATAGGTCCTGATGGAGCCAGCCAGGCAGAACACATTGTTTCTGAGATGTCTGCACGTTCCTAGCAAAGGCAGTTTCCACACTGAAGAGACACTTCACTGTGCACACCCCGGAGACAATAGCCATGGGCAAGGTAGAAAGTGGCCCTTTGGAGGGGCAGGGCATGGCAGGATGGCTTATCAGGATTTCACCTCTTGTTCTGAGGGTTCCTTTCCTTCAGTGTCTATGTGGGCCTGCACTTCTCCCATTTAAAGACGCTTCAGAAAGCTAACCATGTTGCCTTGGCAACACCAGCATCAGCATCTTCTGATGGAACAGAGCTTCAAAGAATGTGGTCTGGTCCAGGCCATCTCTAGAATAAATTTTCTACCATCTTATATCAGGTCCATGCGGGATCATGCAGCTAAGTCTCTTGTGTGTGCTGAGGGAAGGGAGGGCTAGCAGCCTTCAGCATCGGAACCATTCCTGTCTTACCTTATGAGACTGCGCTGAGCCCCTCTTGGGATGTAGAGAACCTGGGATCTGGTTCACAGGGAAGTCATGAGAATTCAGCATGATGGCAGACATCCCAGCACATTTGTTCATGTATTTTTTTGTTCCTTCATTCATTCCTTTAATGTATTGAGGACCTGCCTGGCAGACATCTACCCCCCTGCACTCAGAACTGAACAGGCTGAGGGAGACAGTGGCAAAACCCAATTAAAAAAAACCCAAAACAATAGGACCTCTGTAAGTTGAACACCCATGGGATTGTAACAATTGGTCAACATCAGGAACTAGGCCTGCTATACTTAAATGAACACGTAGTGCATGTCTATGAAAATTAGTCAACATAAGGAGGTGGTCAACTACAGAGGTTCTAGTATAGTTTAAAAGAACAGATTAACAAATCAATTAACATACTGCATATGAAGACAATAAGCAGTGTAGAAATAAGAGAATTACAGAGGGTTCAACTTAGGATCAGGGAAGACCCCTCTGAAGAGATGATATTTAAGTAGAGGACTAAAGCAGCCAGGTGAAGCGCTGTGGGTACAGGAGGCCTACTAATGGGAACAGCAGGTGCAAAGGCCCTAGGGTGGTACACACTTGGCTAATTTGAGAACTGCAAGGAGGCC